TTGCTAGTGTACATATGTTATTCTGCGGCGTCCTTAAGCATACTTCGCTCATGAACAGAATTACCGTTTATATGTTAATCTATTATGCTCACGAAGTGTTGCACTCATGTACAGAATTGTTATTGCCGAAATTTTGTGTATTACGGATGTGTTGATAATAAGCGAAGCCAGGAATAAAAGCCTTCTCCCGACGAGTTAGCCGAGCAAAATGTAGTTTTTGACGGAGTTCCGTAGTCAAAACCCCGATTTCTGCGGATTTGTGCGTCCACACAGGATAATGCCGTGAAAGGAAATGTACTGTCTGTGATGCGTCGACTGCATTTTATTTACGTCACTCTCTGTAGGAGCCGAATGCCCGTGCTGAATTTTCGTTCCTGCTGTATTGTATTGTTTTAGATTACTTTCGACTGATTTCATTTTTTCTTATACTGCAAGGTAAACTTTGTAGTGCAGTAAATTAATTTAAAATAGCGACTATGAGACGGAACACATTTGTGTTTATATTGTTGGTTACTCTTAATTCCATGCAACTGTACCTCTTGTCAGGTAGTTCATAATAACTCTCGAATAACGAAGAGCATAACTGGCCAAAGAATGGCTGGTACACGCTTGCACAATTTTTCGAACAGCTATTCATGATTACTCTACACTTCTACACTTGCATTAATTTCTTTGTTCTACCTTATCCTGCGCATTGCTCTTACTGAATCTCTTATCTTCGTTATTTTTGTTCTTTTTTTCTGTTATCCTAGACAATTGGTGAGTGTTCACTGAGGGGTTTCCTCTGTACGACCTCGACTCCTTTCTTGCCCAGCTGAGACAAGGGAGATAGGCATGGCGCCGCAGCTGGAAAGTTGACGTGCCGTATTGAAGCGGGCTACGCGACCGCCGCATGCAGGCGTCGCCTAATTTTCAAATAATATGCCAAATAGTTAACTTGACCCTGAGGGACAGGCCTTGTGCTCAATTTCAATGTGTTTCAGACGCTTAAAGCTTCAACCTTTTTTTCGTTCTTGGGTCCGTATTGCTTCGTCACATTCTGGAAATTGTCTTGGATAATTCGATAAATTCATTGATATTACTTTAGACGCCTTTTGTCGGTCTTGATATAAAGGATGTCCAGCAATCAGCATCAGGCACGTTTCTCTGATTAACAGATTTGCGCTTATTTACATTACAATGTTCAGAGTAAAGATGAAGGTACAAGAAAGAAAAAGGAATCCATTGTCGATTTGTCTCGTTTCATCGATAAAAAAATAAGAGTCAAATTTCAAGGAGGACGGGAAGGTTGTCAAAGCTTGGCTTTTTGCTGTTTGTTTTAGCTCGAGAGTGCCACTCATGCGTATTTGGTTTCTTTTAGCTGCTGGGATCCTAAAAGGATACGATGCGTTGTTAAATTTGGTACTGGATAATTGTGTGGAATATCTTCGTGATCCTGAGAATCCCGGCACAGTTGGAGATGATACCAGGTTTGCTGTGTTTAACGGATATATATTGATTACTGGCCTCGTTTTAGACAAAGTATAAAGTTCACAACTTTTAACAGGCTGTCTCTAGGGCAGCTAAGGCAGTATTAGTCTGTTTTAGCCTTCATCGTTACCTTTGGGAGCTGAAAGTAGCACAGAAAAATTGGTTCGCGAGAAAGAGATAAGAGTTTATTTATATCCACAAAGGCTATGTAAGCGAGAAATTAGGCGCATTCATAGTAAGTGCGTTATACGCCGACCCATACGTAAAAACGCCAATAATGCTGGGTAAAAACGCAATCATTTGTGTTCGTTTTTATGCATGCATATCCGTGTTGCGCCTATTTCTTTTTAACGTTGAACTGTGGACTGATTTGAGAACTGACCTGGATAAGGTAGCTTGGCTTATTGAGGCTGAGGAAGCCTATGTAACAGTATTGTACCGCAGACCGAAAGGAATTCGAATGGGCAGAGCACGGAAGAATGTTTGTCTCATTTCCCGAACCTTTATTCCATTAGATATTCTGCATCATCATAATCCCTTCCTATCGGAAAGAGTGCTCTTTTGGGAGCCATTGAGCTTAATCGGCTTTTTTCGATCAGGTATCTTGAGCATTTCTCCAGTTTTCAGCCTGGCCTGGTCATTATAAACTGCATAATTTGTGAAACTAACCTTTCTTTTTAAGATCATTAGGGTTGATAGTTGCTCGAGGCACTGCAATAACAGTTGTCGCCCCTTCTGATGGCATGGAACAAATCGACAATCCGTTTGCTCAGCAAGAAGATTAGAGGTACTTTCAATCCCTACTTTCCACTAAGAGTTGCAACTTTGAAATGGATTTTTACTGCTTTAACCAACTTTGCTTCGTGATTTTGTTTGTCATCATCAAGTGACTGCAAACGAATTTGTTTTTCGTTATCTCAAAGCGTTTGAATATCACTGGAGATATACTTCTGTCTAAGCTGGAACTAGAATCATGGGCAAGAGTAAGGACGGAATCCGCTTTTTGAGTTTGTAGTTCTCGTTGTATTGTAGTGGTTGTGAACATGGTACTTGCAAAAATATTGAGCATTGATAGAACTGGAAACGAAGCGATTTTTCACTATATTGTGGGACGGGCCCAAGGTGTTAGTCTTCAAAATTTTTGTGTCTCTAATTGCGCTCTGGGAGGGGTAAAAGGAAGACGACGTGGCATTCAATAAAGGAGTACCAGTTCACTGTTCGATCTATTCACAAGACGAAGTCATTTTTTCTTAGAAGGATTTTCTAAACGTCGTAACCTGGTTTACTGCATCTCCCCCTGCTCCCCTTCAATAACTGTTTTTCCTTAACCTCCTTAAGGTTACATCTTCATGAAATAAACAAATGAGCCCATAATGAATAACGAGTAAACGGGTCCTATCAGGAGGCAAGTGGTTCTCTTTGGCTTTCCTAGGTATCCTTCAATCATTCAATTTCATGAGGGTACCGAAGACGCGCTAAGACGCAGGGTGAATCGTGAAGATTGAGGAGTGTGCAAACGGCGATCAGTGAGGAATTTTATAACGATTATAGTAATATACTATAAGGGGGGGAGGGGAGATTCAATCGAGACTGAAGGTCTTATTTGTTTGGAAAAACCGCGGAAATGTTTTCTAAGAAAACACTAAGGTCTCTTCTACTGCCATGTTCTCCACACTTATACTTTGCAATATTCAGCGAAAAGGTATGTAGGTGATACGCCTCGCGGTGGCGTTCTGCAGGTACACCCAGAAGTAACTTCCACGTACAACCTCTTTTGAATCTAGGCGTACATATTACTCAGTGCCTTATACAGATCTGCCATGCAGCTTTGTTATGGTGGAACCGCTTTATTTGCTCAGCGTTTCACTGTAACAAACGAATTGTTCGGAACGTCGAGGAAATATTTCTATCCCACTATAACCAACCTGTACGGTAGAGCAGTATAAGACAGTGCATTCATGCTTGTATTGTTTTCGTTGGAGAACGGCACTGTGCCACTGGTAATGAAGAAAGCGAGAAAATTCGCCATTTTAGAGAAAAATGAGGCTATTTCAAAGTAGGGAAGTTGAAAAAACTTACCGTGACGGAAATAACATGGAAGGGGTATTTGGACAACATTCCAGTTGTTGCAATTGCACAAAGAGCGCTGGCTACATCAAGCCACAACTGTACATAATTGCCTACGGGGCAGCCCATATAACGCTAGTGAAACTCGTCTGAGGATACACACGGTGCAATTTGAGTCTCTAACGCCCTATCTAGGCCGTTTTCAGACCTGATAGCGCCAGAATGGTACACGAGGGAGCCTCGGATTCCACCTATGGAAAATTTCAGATCGAGTCTTAGCGTGACCTTTGCCTTTAAGGTGAATTAATACCGCTCGTTTGACTAAGTTGGTGTTGCATGTAGTTAGCATTACCTACGTCCGACATACGGCATGGGTTGAAGGGAATACAATGGAGCGAATTTCTACTCTCTCCTTTGATTGCACCCTGAATTCATAGGCAGCCTCCAAGCATCATGTTGCCATGCTACCTACGTATGAATTGATACCGCTTGTTTGACTAAGGTGGAGTTGAATAAAGGAGCAAGTATCTACTCTCTCTTTTGAACTGAGCCATACGACATATGTACGTATGTGGGCGTAGGTAGCATGGCAACATGATGCTTGGATGCTGCCTATGAACACGCAGAGGGTGAGATCGAGGAAGAGAGTAGAAATTTGCTCCACAGTCTTCCCTTCAACCCACATATCACCTATTGGACTCAGTGCGGTGATTTTGGCCGAAATGCGCTTTCCAATCTTTATGATAGCACCAGTCAGTTTGTGAACCATAGAGTATCAGTCGGTCCTAAAGCCCTTTAGATCTGACTGGAAGAAACCACATGCGGTTTCACTCATCGCACGCGTTTTTTATGCATTTTTCATAGATTTTCGCCGTTATAGCGAACAGTGAACGGCTCACTGCTAGTGGCCTGTTTTCATTTCTTAGTTGAATGAGAGGCGTTCATTTACAAATCCTCCTCCACTTCCAAGATTCCCATAGAAGCGCGCGATGCTCGGGCAATCCAATTGCTGTGTGACTGCAAACTGCAGCAGCACTTCACGTATACTCTTTCATGATAAGGACTGTTCAGTCGTGGCGAAGGGGTCCTGGTAACCTGGAAAATGGGCGACCTGGCGTAGTGTAGTAAGCTAATTTTAGCACGTGACGTACGTCTTCAACTCCTTATCCATGCCTTTCTGATAGTTAAATTCAGATGCATAGTTAAATAATTACATATGATTCCTAAATTCTTTTTCCCTCGCTGAATTCCACTAATCTCTCTTTCATAATCAACAAAATGACCGTAGTTGCAGAGCGTTGGATTCAAACCATGATGCTGAAGCGGGTTCCTGATCTACAACTACCATTTCCGTGATGGCGTTAATTTCCTACTTCTGCCTTTGAGATATTGCAGAGATTCTGTTCAAGGAAATAAAGACTGTTTTCGTGATATCCGAATAAAATTTCGTATTCCCTTCGTTTGATTATTGCTTGCTGGAACTTGCATCCTGTGGAACAAAACACCGAAACTAGGAAAAATCGAATGGATTAAATTTGTTGAAAAAACAGTTTTGAAAGCTCTCTGTTCGATCCGTTCGAGATGTGCAACTTTAGTTCTGACTCATTTGGTGAGATATCTCCTCCCCATTCGTTCGTGGGATGATCTGAATTAATTGCCAGAGTTTTGACCACTCGTCATACTCAGCCATGTTAGCATTAGTTCCCTGAGTTGGCAATCTTATTCCAGTTTCGCTTTTCAAAATGGCATGTCAAAATGCCAAAAAAATAATATGAAAATGCTCTAGACTTTCACATCCTTACATGGCCCCTTTTTCTGCACAATTACAGCTTTTGAACCTGAGGGTATGGATGCGAAACAATGTGAAAATGTAAGTGCTGGAAGGGGTTCATGAGTGTAGGACATAGGAAATGGTGATGTCGTACACAATGACGGGCTCGCTGAATATGGGGACTACCATGGAGATGCGTTGGTGTTGTGTCAGACTCAATAAAGTTCTCGTCGAAATTGCAGCAGTTTATTTCTAAAATCTTGCTCTTGCAATAAACACAACCTGGGGTTTTATACTGAATTTTAATCCGTTTAGATACCTGTAGATGACCTTCAAAGGTGTCAGATCTAGGAAAAAGCACAAGGTGCAGAAAAAGTGGGAAAGGTCACCTTTGTTTACTGGTTTGCGTGTAGGTGACCTAGAAGCGCTGAGTATTTACAACCAAAGGGTCCTTCCTATTGTATTACTTTTCTTTTTCATTGCTAACTTGATCAAGATGTTACACAGCATTGTCTAATTTATGTTGACACAAATTTAATTTTACAAACTTTCCCTTCAATTTTCAAATGCGCAGTTGCAATAACACTTTGAACGTAAACAATCACTTTCACTGAGTCTTACAGAGAGAGGTTAGCAGTAGCCAATCGAGCGAGATAATCCCACAGTTGATTGAGTGGAGATACGAAAATGACTCGTTCTCAGAACTTAGGTCCCTCTCCCCTCTTATCCTTTTCGTAGTCAAAACAAACGTACGTACCTGGCAAAATGTACTTCAACGCCCGAACCTTTTTTTGGGGCAACTGATAAGGAGGAATAGTGTGAGACTGATGTTCCATGACCGATTCTAATTCACACTACTCGTCATCAATTATAGATAAAAACTGCTGAGCATCTTCTACAGTGGTGCCATCCTTCAGTCAACAAAGATAGAAGAAAAAGGTGGGAACACATGATAATGTTATTTATCCCTTGCTATACTTACCCCCAACTCTGGCCTCCACGAAATAGATCAGCATTTGGGTTGCTATCACATCTGGTGCTGAAGATGATAATTGCGCGTGTGTAGTATTGATTTCGGGTTCACCACCTATCCGAGGTGTTGACGATTCTTACGTTGCACGCTATTGGTGAAGTAAAATAACATCTCTTCTAGAAAATGTATTGAGGATTGCGATAGACGATGAAACGAACAGTAAACATGTTCTCCATCATGAAAACTTGACGAAAACATAGGTGGCAAAATGCGAACGGCTGGAGCACACAAATATGAATGATGCATCAAATTCTAAAAAGTTGACTATACACAAATTATCGAAAGAAAAAACATCAGGCAAATATGCCCATTATGTACAATTCAGTTCAAGACAATGTTTTTTTTAGGACTATGTACAACTAGATACAAATGAAGCAACAGCATGTGCTCAGTTAGGAGTGCCGCAAGATGGAGTTGATGAATAAGCGTTAATCATTCTAGTACAAAAACAATTGTCAATTCCAATCGCTGATAAGGACGACCTGAGTTTCAGAAAGAGATATAGATGAGAATCCAAACGCTGGCTGGCTGGTATACACAACATACAGGAATCCGTCTTGATCTCTGTCTGTTTGGTAGAGTTGAGACATGGTCATTGAGTTGGAGACGACGGATTTCTCATTGACTAGAAGAAAGAAGGCCTGTTCCGGATGTAACTGCAGTCTGAAAAGGTTGAATGTGGGGTAGAGCTACAATGCAAAGAATTATAAGTGAAAGGGGGGGGGGTGACCTTAACAACACTTAATTTTATTAAAAGTTTATTGAATGTGGCTCACACTTGATCTTGATGCTCTGTTACAGAAAGCCGTACGCGTTTTACGTAGTAAAATTGAATGAAGTCAGTTAGTTTGTAATTTTTCAGTGGCGACCTCAAAGAAACAAGCGGTAGCTTTCTTTTTAGTAAACATGTCCTTGAAATACACAAGTCAGAAGAGCTCTAAAGAAATATTACAAAGATATAACGAAGAATAACATTGACCTTCGGCCCATTTTAATCACACACAAGTCGCATGGAACCTGAAACCGTTCATAACCCACAAGAAAGGTCAACTTCGAGTTATTTTCACCTCGACGTATTTATCACAAGAAACAGAACGGTTGTGCCCCAGAATTACTGCTCAATTAGCTGACTCGCAATCACTGATAAAAGTCTGCTGCGATCACAACTAATGGTTCACTTAAGCAAACTTCGAGAAGTTTTCTTCAGCAGAAACAGTCTTATATGTTTAGAGATGAGTAAAAACTCAATCTCATGCATGAGCCATATACAAGGAACTTGGGAATAGCAGCTTCTGCAGCCAAAGCGGAAAAGTTGCAGTTGTTGAACTGAGATAATAATACATCAAAGAGGGATAGCTCAGATTTGACTTTATAATCGTACCTGCGTCTAATAATATGCATAAGTTCGGCAACAGTGATATGATCCGGTACCAAGAATTTGCAACGATCCATCAACGGCAAACTGCGTTCACCTTCAAACCTTTCGATGATCACGGGAATTTTATTTGGCTGCTGACGCCTGATTTCAGCCACATCCTTTTCTCGTGCATCTGAACAGAGTTGTATTGTTGAGTTGTGAAAAACGAGAAAAAAACTATGAAAGAATGCTGGTTATTATGAAGAGCCAACACCCAACGGATCGATCAATACTTATCCAAACGTTAGCCGAGCAATACTTCGTATATATTAACACATTCCATGAAGATAGAGCCCATTATTAAGGGATTTAAACAACTATGACGTTTTTGAATGTATTATTGACCTATATCATTTATTACTGCTATTTTGAACTTTAGTTGTAATATGGAGAAGATGTACGTGGAAATACTTGAATGTACTTCCAAATGCGAAGCAAGCCAATAGAAAGAAACCTGAATGCCTACTTCTAAGCCCATGTAAATGCCCGAAAAAACAATCAATAGTTATTCGAACTGAGAAGGCTTAACACATTCCATAGGGGTCGGGAGGATACCACGTGACCATTTGTGTATTAAGCGACAGAAAGTCTCAATGTCAAATTGCTGGAAAGCTTTCAAACTTACGCCCTACAAAGAGACAAACCAGTTCCTCAATGTCTGTGTTGAAGAATCAAAGGTCCTCCTAATATAAGTACACTGCTCTTAAAAAATTTCGGTTCGAATTCGAATAAAGTCAAATTCGTGATAATGACTCGGAGCGGGTCCGATCAATAGTTCCGACTACATTGAAACAATGGGCGTATGGTAATTGAACAACATTTTTGAAGCAAATCAAAAGGGTGATTGACCTTGTAAAGCAAGAGAGCGAAGATTCAAGCTGGCGATGCCAACAAAANNNNAAAACTGCCGGGAAGCATCAAAAACATCATAGCTACGTCAAGCCAAATCGAAAATAAACAAAATATTGAATGCCCAGTAGCAGAACTCACGGAAAGGACGACGTTCCTTGAATGATGGAATAGAGCCTGACGAAAGCGACATCCTAGAATTCTCCTCGAGCAGCACCGAGAATCAATAGGCAGGCTAGGACACCGATAACACACGTACACTGACAAGGCTTCAACCGGTTTCCTTCGTCGCCTGTGTAGATATCGCACAAGCGTGAAACTCGTCCTAAAATCACGCGCGCGACGGAAATGACGTGAAGGGAGCAATGGATGATAACGTGAAAGGAGCCTCAGATTGAACACAATCTACGAAATCTAGCTCTGATCGGGTACTAAAACCGTCCCCATGAGTATTCATAAAAAGCTTCAAAGAACAGCGGTGTGGATTGCGCAAATCACTCAGTCTACTATACAGAAGTACTCTGGACAGTTACCCCCAATCTATTTCTTGCTTTACTGCCGAGATTGGTGTTTGCATTGCACAACCTTCTCAATTTCACTACGTTCCCATAAGGTCCCGCTTTGCGAGTAAAGACATGACTACCCATGATACACACACAAGGAGAGAACTAAAATGCCCATGCAAACACCCTTGAGCATCTGCTCGCCGGGCGTGGAGCAAGGGACGAGATGCAGCGCCGTGCCTCCCCGTGCCAAACATGTGATTGGAACAGAGCCGTGAACATGTACTCTGTTCGGGACCATCAGTAGTACAAAAAGAGTTTTTTGTGTAATTGCGTACATGATGCGCCTACAGCATCCTGAAATTAATTTATTCACTTCTTCCTGCCATTCTGGATGCTTTCATTTGCCTCACCGGATTGTTAATGAACTTATCTCAGTGACTGTTTTATTTAATCGTGATTTTATATAGTTTATGCTAGCCGCTCCTCATTTCAGGGGTTATCACATAAGAAAGCGCTTGGCATATATCGCAATTCACAGGAACGGCGGTGTTTCGTATAATCCCACTATCGCCGATAACCCTTTTCGAAAACTCTTGCAGTGAGTTTTTGCTATTTGAAAGCATTAATCGTTTGATTTCTGTTCACGATCATCAATGAGGTAGTATACGACCATTAGATGCTTTCTGAAGTGGTATAGTTGTGTTGATAGGCAAAAGATCTTTTGACCTATTCTCTTAAAAGCTTCACAGCTTTCGGTTATTAGTCGAAATCCATGTTCTTCTGTATTCTAGTTGTAGATCGTTCTCGAAAGTTCGTAGTAGGTATATACTGCCGGCGCACTGTTCACCCTTGCATCCATTTGTCAAACTCCCCTTCTACGCCTACACCGGGAGGAGTTCCTGTAAAAGACGCGATTGGTTGATACAGGAAGTTAGGACGCTTATGATTCTGACAAGCAGTTTCGGGGATTTGAATCGAACGACTTGAGCTGGAGTACGTTCCTACACTCCCCTTTACAAATACGGTTCCTCTGATATTGTCCTCTCTGACTGTAACTCACTTCACACTGAGGTACTATTAAATGGGAAAATTCATCAGTGTTGAAGATGTTGAAGTGGGTTTCAACGGTTTCTTTGATTTCTAGGGTCTTTTTACTAATCTTTACTAACTCGCAAGTCTCTCAGCGCTGTTTCGAAGAAATTCACCCAGGCGTTTAATGAGGTTCACTTGCCGTGTTTCATATTAGGGTGTTTTTTTTTCAATGCGGCTTTACTTCAGTGTCAGTTCAGCGGTCGTTTGCTGTGTTCCCCATCAGGAAACGAAACAGTTTTTTTTATTTAATTGCACACAACTGCATGGTATTGCAGTAGCGCAAATCCGCAATGGTCTAGATCTTCAACTTCTCATCTCATCCCTGATAATGAAATTGCTGCATACCACTAAGCATGATAAGCCTTGACCCTTACGATGCCCTGCTGGTGTCCTCCGATTTTCTTCTTTTCTTTTACATTTCTTTCAAAACGACAGGAGGATAGCAAAGTTCGTTGAGTCATATTTGGACAGAATGACACTTTAGCTTTTATGGCGGTCCAGTTTTTTGTACATCTTCGTCTTTTGTTTACCAATAGCTACGGTGGGACCTGTTTAGTGAGCAGTCGAGTCAGCTTTGTTCTCCGCAGAGTATTTGGTCAAATGCTTTGATACGGAAAAGCTATGTAGGGCTTAGCTCATGGTAAAGCTGAGCAGAATAGAACAAAGGCTGTATGCATGCACACGTCAAAGCTAACCATTCAGTTCAATAACAAGTGATATGGTAAATGGCGAAGTCGAACGAATGGCTTGAACAATCGAAAGCCTAAAACGACTCAACAATCCTTCTGACGCCGATACACGGTGTGTGAACTAATGCGTCGGGGGTGGCCAATGAGAAGTATAATATGATTGCATCCACTGAGGAGAGCCACTCCCTATTCCATGAAGAATGTGTTTGAACGGGCATGAGGCTATCGCTCATCGTGCGCAAGTGAAGCGCATGATGTGCTTCATTTTTACGTAATATCGATGTTTGAATCGTCGCCATTCACTTGCTCAACAGTCGCATTATTCAGGGAAATTTGTGGGAAACGGTCACGCCACCGCTCTATGAATTGAATTTTATCTCGAGAAACGTGACGTTTTTCATTCTTCTCAATTTTTTTCTTAACAACACTTTTCAGTCATTACTATTCCAACAGCATTCGAATCTCTCATCGTTCTTCTCTGAATAGATGTCATCAAGAGCTGGTTTAGTGAAGGTACTCTTTTTTTTCACATACTTCTTCGAAGCTATATTTCATGAATATCAATTGGAGATTTCCAGTCAACTCGATGGCGATTGTGGCACCTTCGCACCAGGGGGCCACCCTGTGTTATAATCAAACAAGCTTAATACGAATTGCAATTCTATGTTTACTCATTTCATCAGCTGTACAGGTTTGTGGAATATTTGGATCGTTCCCAAATAGAAACCTGTCTATTTTCTTCATCTGGTACGAAGAAATCTGCTCCCCTCGCATAATTTAATGTCTATAGCTGAAATCTCATTTGACTGCTAGCTACAAAATCCACATTTGGAATGCAATTCTCCGACTGACATATGTCTATTGATGCTCTTTTAAATCTTTCTTGTGCATGTGCCAATAACGATAATGATCTTGAACGAACCATATCATATAGCACGGTCTTGTGCGTTGCACATATCGAAGTAGATCTGGAAATGACCCTGGTCGAAATCGGTGTGCTCTGTGAAAGCTTTAGTGGAAATTTCGAGCCATATTCCGAGTTCCAAGATGAAAAGGTGCTAAGTTCTTAGAACGAAAAAGTGTTCTGAAACCCTTACTCTTTGATCAAGTTTCATTGGAAACGGGTTTGCAAATCAGATTTCTGATAATCATTTTCACTCTATTCACTATTTCCATTTACCGTTTAATTTAGTGGTTCTTATTTGCAATATATTTCAGTTGTCTCTACCGCTTATTAACGAATATGGGAAATGGTTGTTATTCTTCGCTCACAGTTATGTTAAATGTGTGCTGTTTGCGAGCTGTAATAATACGACATCACAAGACTTCTCACTTGCTAGACAAAATGATCCTACATTCTTCCCGGAAATTTTTCCTGTTGAGACATGGACGGTAATTTTTTAAGTATCTTTCCCTGAGGGGTTAATAATTGTCTATACTGTCCTTCAGGGAGCTAAACCGGTCGCCATCGTACCTCAAATTGCCGAAGATGAAGTTCCAGACCGCGCTCGAGAACAAGAAGCTTTAGCTGCCCTATCAGCTGCTCAGTCCAGTCGGCGATCTGGAAATATCAAGCGTGTATGTTTCATGATATGAAAGGTCGTTCTTGTTTGTTGGTTTCTAGTATAATGCACAAGTTTTATCAGTGCAAAGTATCAGTATCTAGTTACTTGTTTAGATGTAAGAGCATGTTATTTTACGTAACTTTGACGATAACCTCCGAAACTTTTGTGCTCTTATGGACTGCTAAGGTTAGAAGGGGCTGCGGGTACTTTTCGAAATTGAATGCTGCGTTCTAGCAGTGATTTGCAATATTCTGAGTGAAAACCCAGATTCAGATATTCTGTAGATGGTTACAAACAGCTTGTGCTCTAATGCCTGGCGAGCCGACGATCTGATTTAGAATTCCTTAGAGAACTTCAGAAGTCATCATCGTTAAAAATGGCATTTGGCGAGTAATGATGAGTTTCTGGCTACAGAAGAGCACTTCATGCTGCCGGCTGGAGCTCTTTGTAGCCTGAAACATTATTACTCACCACTTTGAAATCGATGGAGAAGTGCGTGTGAACATCGTCGTCGTTATACGTCGAGAACTAATTGATGTCACACTCGTAAGGGTAATAGTAAATTATGGCCTTCTCGTGTGTAACCAGGCGTAATTTCTCCTTAAATTCTTTCTCTGGGTGAAGCTACATTCTCAACCTTTGTGAGAACATTTGCAAAAAATCTGGTATCAAACTGTTTTTTCGTTCAATCAAGAGGAAGGGTATTATAGTAACGCTAAGAAGCTACCCACTAACAGTTAGCTTGTTGGTCTGGAAATCGAAAATAGTGGGTGACCATATGATCACATCGTGGCTCTGTCCACTAAGTTCACACTATCTCTAAAACGAAATTTATGTAAGAATCAGTATCTATTTATTACCCTGTCAGTTTTTATTTTGCAGAGGAATCTGATATCCATGGTTTCAGGCGAAAATGATAATTGAACACGCAGTGGCTCTCGCTCCGAATCATCCTGATATTTTGACTGAGTATGGACTATTTCATGAGGTATGACCCTTCCTAGTAGTCTCATAAGTAGCCTTTCAGTTTGCTCTATTAAATATTATCTTTTTATATGTTGGAACATAACGTACTCGAAGCTGACCATTGTTACGCGAAAGCTTTGGCGTACGATCCCTCTCATTCCGAAGCACTTGTGTGAGTACTCGCTCATTCATTCATTCACTCGTCAAATTTAAATGTTCCTTCGAGCCACCAGAGGCACTCATGGCGTCTTTTTACTTACCATTTTGTAAGAATTTTTGACTTGTGGTAACCTTGCAAAATGGAAAGCTCACAAAGTTCAAATTGAACGGAAGATTAGCAGCTCACAGCTTCATTGTTTTCACAACGAAGCTGTGAGCTGCCAATGTTTTGTTCAAAATTCAAAAGCACAGTTGAAATCAGTTTGGAGTAAATCTGATCGGAACGATNTTTTTTTTAGCAGACGGAAGCGGACTTTGCCCTTGGTCAACGCGATGGATGCGAAGTTATTGCGGCGCATTGAAGCAAAGCGGGATCAGTTCGCACGCCTCCCACATACGTCAGCTTTGAAGAGAGCCATGAGAGAAAGCTATTTTCTTCATATCTATCACACCGTCGCAATTGAAGGAAACACTTTATCACTTGGACAGACACGGTACGTAATTATCTGCCTTACCAATTTTCTTAATATTGTCTGAAGGCAATTACTGGATATTTTGGAAACAGAAATGTCGAGACAAAGAGATAACAGACAAAGAAAAAGAAGCAGAGGTTAGCATCACAAATACACGGAATTTTTAGTTCTATATTGGAATCTGGCGTAGCGGTGGCTGGTAAAAGCATACATGAGCACAATGAAGTGATAGGTATGGATGCTGCTCTCAGATATTTGAACCATTCGCTTCTTCACAGTAAGGATATAACTCTGGATGTGAGTTTGTTTGCCTCTATAATATTGAAGGAATCAGTTATCGCTTCATTGCATATAAAAATATTCAACATTCAGGACATATTGGAAATGCACAGAAGAGTGCTTGGAAATGTCAATCCAATAGATGCTGGACGTATCAGAACTACACAGGTTACTTTGATGCTCATCCTTTTCAACTGCATTACTAGTCTCTATGGTTCTTTCAAACATCAACAACCAAGGGCTTTTTACTGCATGGGTGTGCCCTTTTCTTTTCATTCCTTAGTCCAT